TGATAATTTCACTGGACATAGAGTGTAAAACGTTCATCGTCGCTAATCTTAGTGTGGGGACTGGGGCACCCGCAGGATTGGCAAAATATGAGAAAGGGTAACTACTTAACTGACGAGATCGCAAGATCGAAACACGTGTATCGGGCTCTATAAGTCAGCCCTCTTTAATAGACCACTGACATGCGTGGCTCAAAAAATGATTACCAGGCGCAAAACTAATTGTCAAAGTACTCCCTTTCAACTTCACTTCCTGCCACTTGTCCGGCGAAAGATCAATTCCGCGAACATAAAATTCCGATCTGTTGTTGTTAAGGAAATGAATGACCGAACTGTGCAATCCAGTATCGCTACCAAACTTTTTGCGCGCAACCAGTGCTCCATTGAACGAAACAAATGATAGTCGCTTGGAGCCAAATCCGGACTGCATGAAGAATGTTCAAGAGCGGTCCAACCAGCTTCGCTCAACCATTTCTTTGTCAGTTTTGCGGTGTGAGGCCAGATTGATGCGTTCACTTGCCACCGTTGCATGTGGACCCATCAGCCGTTCGTGCATCATCAGCAGCCTAATTTGCTCACTTGTTAACTTCATCTTAACTCAAATAAGTAGATAAATTATATACCAATCAATACAGGAGAAGACGAGCTTTTAGATGAGCCAAAAAACACAAAAATTGCCGACGCCCAAAAAAGTTACATGCATTTTCTCAGAACTATTTCTCCAACCTATTAAAACTGTTTTCAAAAAAACCGGCCAAGTGCGTCTCTAGACAGAGATTCAAGCTTTCGAATGATTACTTACACTCTTATGAGAAGTTCTTGTCCAACGAATGGAGTCAAATATTCATTTGTTGAAGCCTAACGGAAAAGATTTTTTGCTGTAATACTTAGTTGGCTTGAACACCTGTTCACGCTTTGTTGATCTCTCCACGTGTGCATTAATGCGATAAGGTTCGCTGCTTCTTTCATTTACTAAAAAACTACTAGTGCTTGCTGATTTAGTTGTAGTAAGTAATGCAAGTCGTCTTACTTAACCGATCTCATCCCAACGCTTTGCTATGCTTTGTGTTGATTCGTGAAAAATTTGGCTTTTTGTTAGAGCATCCTAAAACGGTTTCTGGAGTTTTTTTCAAAGCGATTACATATGTAGTTTTGCCATACTCATTTCAATGTATCATCGCCTCCCATTAAGTGCATGTGTGAACTACCAGATCTCCACATCAGAATGTCTTTCGTAGACTGCCTTTACATGTTTTGCTGCCAAGCATGATGTTTGTGAGACATTCAGAAAAGAGTCTGCCTTTTTCGTTGTTTCATGAGGATTACCAATGCAATGTGTGAATGTGATAACTTTCTGCGAGCTTATTTGATCTCTAAAGTACCCTATATGTCCAGACTATTGTCACGCATACCCCTTTTTTATTATTTACTGGCCGATCCAAAATAAATCAATTCCACTTGAGTTCACGACAGTAGAATTTTGGAAATCTTTTATTGATATCAGTGTTAGTATCTATTGAGCTGGTGTCTGCTGTGGTACAGCGGTTAGAGGAACACTAGAATATAAACGTGATCATTGGTTTGATCAGCGCCCTGAGTTCACCATGTCTTTCATCCCTCCAAGTTAGACATTCAACAGTTTTGACAACGCTTAATGTTACGTTAGCGAAACCGAATACATGACGCATTTCTCACGGAATGATCAAGACCGGACGTTTTATTTCTCATTTTCTTGCGAAAGGAAAGCATAAAAAATTGGAATTTTAGTGAAAAAAAAAACGCGTTCACGTAGGCGTTATGAAGGCTGACCGAGGAAGTCACCAAGAAACGTGTGTCTAGATCGGCTCCCCTTCCGAAATTGAAAGTGCTATTCTTTGACACCTTGGCACTTTGCTGATCCGTCTTCACAGCGCTTTTTCTCCACTGCGCGGAACCCAGTACTTCTAGCTTCAATTCGTTTTTTCGTCCTGTCCTCGGCTGGTTCAGTTACGTGTGTGAGGTCGGGAAGTCAATATGATGAACGAGTTAGGTCAAGAGTTAAACAAGAGGAAGCGAGCGGCTTGAGAAGCGTTCAAAAGCACCAACGATTTAGTGATGAGAACAAAGAACATCCAAATCCACACCCAACTTTTCGACTCGACGATTATCCTGCCTCAACATATGCATTAAATACCACATCGTTACGTTAGCAGGATGAAAGATCACTTGGCGTTACTGAACGCGCAGTTGGAAGCTCGATGCTAGGAGTGTTTAGGTCCTAAATGAGAGAAACGATCCAAAGTTCAAACCTACGTCAACAAATGAAGTTAAAGACGTCGTTTCAGACGCAGCCAACCACTAATAAAATGAGTTGGAAACAAGGTCCGCTTTCGATCGAAATTTTCTAGATATGAAACGAATAGCACGGTGACCGCTGGGCCGATGTTATGATTTCTTCACGGAAAGCTTTGAGGGGTTCGCGGTAATCAACAAATTTCTACAATTGGTTAGCTTCTACTCTTTTTCGCAATAGCGGAAATGTAACTTTTTCTGATGTCTGCTGGAGTTTCGCTATGATCAACGGAGCAACAGGTGATATGAGTGGTGTGGCCAGATCATGAAGCTGGTAGTTCTAATGATTCTAATGTTTAGTAAATTTTTGAAAATCTTCCCTTTTTCTAAAACAAAAGCTAAACATTTTTCATTTAATCGTTATATAGTATAGGTAGTATGTTCACCAATCCTGAAAAAGAAGTAATGAGCATCCTTTGAGCATAGCATGCATTATGTGTGTTAGTTTCAGATGCACGACGATCGTACGGTGTAACGCCAATTGTACGAGCGTACATATCACTACCAGTCATCGATCTCATCAATCTCATCCGGATCCTATCTCAATGACACTTGTACTAGCGTTGAGACCGTCATATACTAGCTTGTTACTCTGTGCACTTTTGCATTGTGATTGTGTTATGCAATTCCTTCATGTCCTTCATTGACGATTCACTGATGGTGTTTTACCATATCAACAAGTTCACTTTTTTAGATGTTGTGCTCCTAGATGTGCTTTCTTAATCACTTACCTTCACTGTTACCATTTTAATGTCCATTCATATACAAGCTCAACTTAATTGGTACATCACCTGCAAATTCGGTTAACTTAGAGGCTTTATTGGGATATAATCTTTGTTAGAGTTGATAGAGGAATTACAAATTATTTTTACTTTCGCGAACATATCAAAGCAATAAAGAATTATTTATAAGCATGAAGGCGAAACAGTTAGCCTACTTTATCATCCTCGTACCCTTTCTTAACCCATGAAAAGTTCTCGTATATTAACGACAGTCGCAGAGCGACAAACGGTAGTGGCCCAAAATTTTTAGAAAATACGTTGACACAGATCTTCATGTCTGTAGTTGATGCTGTCTATAAAAAAATTTTCAGTTCTCAAGGCCTGAAGGCCTGTGTTTGATATTGAAACAATTGCCCAAAAAGCTATGCTGCAAAACTGTTGCAGAAAACTGTCATGTACGTTCAGTTTCCTATCACTGACGGCTGTCGGTAGTATTTCTGATAGCTTTGACAAACTGCATAGGCAAATGGTTGCCATCGGTCAAGGCCGTTAGACTCTATTACATGTAAGTGGAAAGGAGATCTGTACAACTGACAACGAAGTTGGACATCCATCAACATCACCCACCACGCGCGATAGATTTAGACTGGAAAAGTCACTGAGGGAATGTGTATTCTCATCACTTTACTTTATTTGATCCGTCTTCACAGGGCTTATCTTAATTGTACGATTCCAGCACTTCTATCATCTGATTTTTTTCGTCTTCTTCCTGAACATCGTAGAATACTGGTTGAGCACGTCTCCTTGCAATCTTGAACATAGTCTGGTCATGGCGTTCCATAGTGCGTGGGTGTTGACTGCCGGAGAGTGTTGGGGGATGAGGTCAGTACCGCGCCGCCCCTCGACGAGCATCACCACCACTCGATCGTGGCCCTCATCTACTGACTAAAGTTGAGCAAGAAACAAAAATTAACAACAAAAACATCAGTAGCTCTTCTTCATGGTATAAATCACCATTTTCACGACTTTCTGCCATTGTTTTGCACGATTCCGGATCCTGACGAGGCTTCTTGTGGAAAATTAAATCGGTGGACCTTGTCGACAATGGTCCGCTGTGAAATGCCAAGCTTCAACCAAATCACGAATGCTCGATGAAGGTTCAGGTTTTAAAACGGAAATCACTATCATCCAAAACAGATGCCCAGCCAGAACGAGGCCTATCTTCCAAAGCTAAATTGCTTTATTTGGTTCGCTCAAACCATCTACTCATTGTCAATTTTGTCATCATACCACCACCTTTACCCTCGTTAATCTCATCGACGGACGGAAGAATACTTTAAGCTTTTCTCTAACAATGGCTCACCAACACGCGCAAATCATACTGTTCAATGGGCAAAAATTACAAGTATCTTCTGTTATGCGGACCCGAGCTGTCAAAAACAGTATTCATAGCAGTGATGCAGTACGATTAAATATTATTATTGCACTGCATCACTGATATTCAATAAATACTACTATTAACACCTCGGAATTGCTTGACAAGAGAAACTAGTGGTTAATTTTAAATATGCCGAGGTTGATAGATAGTCGGTCCTAGGAACTGAAATTAATGAACTACATAAATATAAACAGAACTAATATCTTTCAATTTTACCGAGCAGTGGTATGATGTTATCAATATACCCATTGATGTAGGGTGATAAGCAAAACTTTCGTGTCAGCGGGACCCGAACCCACAACTCACTCTATCCGGGAGCGCGTACTCTAACCCGTTGGAGTACTGACGCTCGTTTTGCTCTCCACTCTTTCTACGCTACAATGCATGTATCTGTCAACAACCAGCTCTCAACGGAGCCTGGCTCAGGTAGTCGCTTATCGACAGTGAACTCAGTTATATAGCTAGATGTTAGATACATCCACTGCAGCGGAGAAAAATGGTGAGCAAAACGGGCGTCAGTAGTGCAGCAGGTTAGAGCACGCATTCGCTGATAGAGTGAGATACGGGTTCGAGTCCCGCCTGACGCCAAAGTTCTGCTTATCACTCTACATCAGTGGGTGTATACAAAAAACTTAATGAAAAACGACATAAAGGTGTCGAGAAATGAAATTTTGAGAAATTTTTACAACGTACGACATTCAGCTCCGTTATCGCTTTCACCACCAGATATGTTTACTAAACGATTCAGTGATGAAAAATCAAGTGAATGTTTTGGATTGATTTATGAATCTGCAACCTTTCACCAGTCGATTAAACATATACGTGCTCTTATACCACGCTTCAAAAGGCATATTTATTCTGTTAGCTTTTGATACCATAATGGCTGGCGGTGACATGAAAACAGCCATATTACGGAAGTTATAGGACGCACAGTGCTACGCGCATCAACGATCAGAGTTATGTTGATATAACTTCATTTCCGTTTAAAGTGATAAAGTTAAATGCTGCTATTAGTAGTTTCAATAATCAAGTTAGAATTAGAAGAAAAGAAATCTTCCCTTACCTCCTCAGCATTTAGAGAATTAAGGAAAAGATCCTCACTCAACCTACACTTAGGATTCTTCTAGTAAAGGTGCACGTAGGAGTCGGATAGGTTTCAAACTGCACATTTTATTCTGTAAAGAGGCTTGTGCGCTGTGGAGACTGGTAGATATTGAGATAGTGATATCTACCTCACAGAAATGTTAAGCGATTTTTCAACATTATCGTGTGTCTCATATATTAATTAGGCATTGTTCATCAATCTGTCTTACTTGTTGTACTGAGAAGTTTTTTTGGTTGGGCCGTTCGCATGGCGATTAGGACAGTTGAAAATCCTTGTCCTCATGTTTTCCGAAAAACTTTCTGTAAATATATGTAAATGCATGCACAGTTATGTAAATGCATGCACAGTGGTATAATTAGGAACTCCAAAGGATAGTCATCGATTGTATGTGCTTCCACATGCTACCAGATTGGAAAGAAAGTTGTGGGGCATTTCAAAAAGCATGAGATAACTCCCATGCATACCATGGGAATATCATAGTTTCTTAAGCGTTATTTTATCACTGAAGGCCTAAATGTTATTCATTCTCATTTTTACTTTGTTACAGGCCTCGCCCATGTCCAACGAGATAATCGAAATTCGTGTTTTACTGCGTCATTATTGGAGAGAGAGAGTCGCTCATAGCGAGCTGCAGTCGACGAAATCGACGAAGTTGAAGGCGAAGGCACAACAACCACTCTTCTGCTGAACACTCGTTTCAGAACTTTCAAATGACGGATCTTGACCTCGAAGACAAGCCTCGTTCACGACGTCCATCAAAGTTGAACAGTTGAAGAAGCATGTCAGGTGTTCCTTGATTAGAAGTCGAAGAGATGCCACATCGACTAGACCCGAATCTCGGAGGACCGGTGGCAGAAAGTCGTGGAAAGCAATGGCCTCTATTTTAAAGAATAGTTATCATTCTTTCTGTTCGGAATTGATGCATAAATTTTCATTTTTTCACAGTGTCTCAGAACTCTCTTTCCAACCTAATGTACTGAATTCTGCCACCTTGTAAAATAGTTTCTGCTATCTGTTTTAACATTCGCGACTATTACACTCTTGACTATTAGAAATTTTATCTATCTCAGTTGCAGGTACTAAGTCCTACACTAAGGAGTGCGTAGAGTAGTGATAGTGATGACGTTCTTCATGAGCACGGAGTTGACTCGGTTTCGTTTCGCACTCATAAACGCTCTAATCCCTCCGAGGTCAGGAAATTGGTAATAGATTTTTCAGAGCCCAGCTTCCCTTCAGATTCATGCAATTACGCTCTATCACAGTTAACCAATAATGAGAAGCTAAATTGACTGGGCAAGTTTCATAAGACATCTATGGAAAAGATAACAGTTCTTGAGTAGGAATTAAGTTCACATGAGAGAAGTCCAAAAACCATGTAAATGATGCATACAAGGAAGCGAATGGAAATGCTAGAAGTTCTGGGATGTGCACTCTAGATGTAAAAATGAGTTATGTAAAATAAAAGTAAAAGTATTCTGTAATGAAGAATTCCTTCGATCTTGTAAATCATTGCACTCTTTTATGTCATTGTTGTTCTATTGTTCATGCAAGATTATGTATTATTTACGTTCTATTTACGAACCTCCTGGAAAAGGCATCAAAAATTCTTCGAAATTATTTTGAATTTTATGATGAGGTTTTCACAAAACTGTCGCATTCATTTTTATATTTTTCAAACGCGTCACGATATATAATGTTACGCAAAC